AATTGCGATCTGTGAATTGTCTCCCATTTTCCATGATTAGCGAATGTGGTAGGCCATATTTGCATATCACATTTTTCCATGTAAATTTTTGCACGTTCGCGACAGTGATCCTGGCAAGTAGGTTTGCCTCATTCCATTTAGTAAAATAGTCCACTTCCAGGATCAGGAATTTAAGTTGTCCTCTAACTGGGGGGAAGGGCCTGATGATTTCCATTCCTTATTACGCGAAAGGCCAAGGTGACTGTATTTGGTGTAGGACTTCTAGATGGCGCTGATGTACGTCTCCGAACAGTTGGCATGCCTTGCATTGTTGAACGTACTCTTTGCAGTCTAACTTCAAGGTTGGCCAATAGTAGCCAGCTTGGACAACTCGAGCGGCCATGGAACACGTGCTAGAGTGCATGCCACAAATTCCCCTATGGATTTCTGTGATAACATACTAGGCTTGTGGCTTTGTTAGACATTTGAGGAAGGAGTCCGAGGTGCTTCTTTTGAAGAGTTCACCGGATTCTATGACGAATTGGGATTATCTATGCTTGACGCGATGAGCCTTAATTTTGTCCTCGGGCAACACTTCGTTCTAGAGGTAGTTCCAGATATCCACCATCCAGCCTCGGTCATTGTCTTTGGTGGTACATACGACTTGCACCTCGAGGCTAGGCAAGGTGATAGTTTCCTGAAGGATCGTTCTGTGTTAGCCTTGTCATTCTGTGCTGGCAAGCTTGGAGAGAAGGTCGGCTCGGGCATTTTGTTCCTAAGGTACGTGGTGGATCATGAATTCCTCGAATTGGGATATCCACCGAGATGTTTCCAAATAGTATCTCTATAACAGGGGGTCCTTGGCTTGGTAAGACTCGTTCAGTTGTTCTACCATTAGTTTGGAGTTGCTATTGCACTTCAGCTTCTTCACTCCTACGACTTGGGCCAATCTTAGTCCTGCCAACAATGCTACATGTTCTGCCTGATTATTGGTGGCCATAAATGCGAATATGATGGATTGCTCGATGGTGATATCGCTTGGGCCTTCAAGAATGATTCTTGTGCCGCCTCCCTTTATATTGGAGGAGTTGTCAACGTGTCGTACCCATGCTTGTTCTTCTTTGGTAAATGATGGGGTGAACTCAGCCACGAATTTGGCGAGGTGTTGGCCTTGATGGGACCCTAGTTCTCATACCTGATCTCGAATTCAGATAGCTCCACCGACCATGCGATCATGCGTCCTGCTAGCTCTGGCTTTATTAATATCTGCTTGATCGGGTAGTCTGTCATGACCACAATCTAATGACTTTGGAAGTGTGATTGGAGACGTTAAGCCAATGTTATGAGGGCCAAGGCAAATTTTTCAATGGCTTGGTATCGTCGTTCTGAGTCTTATAGGACTCGGGTGATAAAGTAAATAGGTACCTGGGTTCGGCCTGGGTTTTGTACTAGTGTCGCGCTGATTGCATTCTCAGCCACTATAAGGTACAAAAGTAGGTCGAAGTGGTAATCGGGTTTCTTCAGGATTGGCGGAGTTCCAAGTAGGTTTTTGAAGGTTGTGAAGGCTTTTTCGCACTGCTCGGTCCATTGGAAGTGCTTAGGCTTTTTTAATAGGTTGAAAATGGGGTCGGCCTTTTCTGCGAGTTTGGGGATGAATTTGGAGAGGGAGGCCAACCGTCTTGCTAGCCGCTGCACGTCTTTGACGTTCTGAGGGTTTTGCATCTGAATAATAGCTTCGCACTTTTTGGGGTTTTCTTTGATACCTTTACTTGTGATCATGAATCCGAGGAATCGTCCGCCTTGGACACCAAAGGTGTATTTCTCGAGGTTCAAACGCATGTTGAGATTTTAGATTTGATTGAATACTTTGGCCAAATCGGCTATATGTGATTCAGCCGATATGGTTTTGACGACCATGTCGTCTATGTATATTTCCATGTTTTGTTTGATTTGGTGATGCAAAATCTTATCCATCAGTCTTTGGTAGGTGGCTCTGGCGTTCTTGAGCCCAAAGGGCATTACATGGTAGTAGAAGTTGGCTTGGTCGGTGATAAAGGCTGTGATCTCCACATTGGGTGAGTACATCATGATCTGGTTATAGCCAGAGTAGGCATCGAGGAAGCTGAGAATGGCATGCCTGGAGGTTCCATCGACCAACCTCTCTATGCTCGACAAGGGGTAAGCGTCCTTTGGGCAAGCTTTGTTGAGGTCAGTGTAGTCGACGCACATACGCAATTTCCCCGAGTTCTTCTTTACCGGAACCATGTTGGCCAGCTACATTGAGTATAAGAAAATGATAATTTTGTGATAGTTATATGGCCTACATTGCGACAACTAGAACTGTCGCGAAGACAACATTGCGACAGTTGGTGAACCATTTCAAAAATGTTCGTCACAAGTGAATTTTGCGTCGGTTATCGTAACCCGGCATCTAGTATTCTTTTGGTTTCAACCACAACGGCGTCTGGTCGCTCTCCACCAATCTATCGTTTCCTCTAGGCTACAGGTTTCGCTTCCTTGTGGATCGCCAATCTGTGACAAATTAGGTTAGGATTTATACCTAGCATGTCGACACTCGACCAAGCAAAGAGGTCGGCGTTCTTGGCGATCTCTCCCATGAGTTGTTTCAAGTTGTCTGATGATCTTTGTACATTTCCCAGGGTGTTCTCCGATATGAAAACTCATCAAGTCCTCAATTGGGCTTGGGTGATTATCATACGATTCTACCTTTGGGTCGAAGTCGGTGACTTTGGCCCAAGTTATTTGGGCTATGGTAGGCACTTCGCTGCGGTGTTGCCTCTTGGGCTGGGGTGGCAATGCCCTTAGGCTATCTGCGTAACATTGTCAAGTCGTCCTCTGGTTTGCTCTGATAGAGATTACTTGACCCTCATTCCCTGGGAACATCATTGTTACTTGACCCTCTATTAAGTCTCATTTATACATATGTTTAGATAGGAATTATTGAACAATTTCACTCACCCCATGCACTCTTGCAACATAATTGTTCTCTTTTTGAATCAATTTTTGTACAGATATAGCTAACCCAATCTCATCTAACAATACCTTGATACACCTCATCTTTTGTGCAGGTATTGAGTGAAGAGTTGAAAGTTGAAGACCCATTGGATTGGAAATTAAAGGAGCTAAGGAGCAGGAGAAGAGTACCTGCGCCAGGTGCAAGAATACCCGCGTCGGGCTTGAGCAAAACAGAGAGTCACACCTTTGCACTTCATAACTGCGCCAGGCGTAAGAAGGTGCACCGGGCGTGCTCGAGACAGAGAGCAACTCAAACTCTCTGGAAGACATCGCCCTCGGCTTAAAATTAATTGCGTCGGGCGGGTCTTGAGGCTGAGAGTAACTAAACTCTCTAGAAGGCCCTGCGCCGGGCGCAAAACATAATGCACCGGGCGTGGTAACCCTAACTTGACTCACCCAGCTCGTATTTGAGCAAGACTTTGAGGATTTTTCCCTCATTCACACATTGGGCGACTTCTAGGAGTTGAGGAAGGGATTCCCGGTGCTTGGGACCGTTCTTGTGTGGGTCTTTCCTTTGGTTCTTCCATCTCTTTTCCATCTCTCTTCCATCTCTATTTTTGTTTTACCCTCATTATTTTGAGCGGTTCTACCCATTATTTTGTGGGGTTAGATGTAACCAACAAATCTCTTATGTAATCTTTACTTTATTAATGATATATATATATATATATATGTTGTTTCATTCATTGTTGTGTATGTTTCTATTCTTAATGCTTGCTTTGGATTGATTCTCCTTTGCTTGATATAGAGTCCATTGGGTATTGGAAAATAGCCTTTTGAACTAGCTCTGAAACAAATACCTAGTGGAAAATGTATCTAGGAATGGAGCTTGGCCCATTAGTAGTCTTAAACCCTAACCCGTAATGCAGGTGTACGTATTGGATACTCAAGGAATTGATCTTCATTACTTCCACCTAGGCTCTTGCTCTAAGGGATTAGATTTGAGTAAACTTATGGGTTGACTAAGCAATGAATGTAACAAGAGAACAAAGATTCATTAGTGTGATGTTTGGTGATATCTGACCCCACAATCTTACAAAACCACAATATCATTTCTACCCTTTCCACACACAAAACAATTAGTTCTATAGTTTTAACATTCCATAGGTCATAACCTTTATTTGAATTGTATGACAATCTATGAAAATGAAATTATTGTTTAGTCACGAATAGTCAATAAATGTTTATTTTACCTGCTAGTCCCTGTGAATACGATATAATTTACTACTTGAACGGCTGGTATACTTGTCGTGTTTGGGTCCGTTAATAGAATTAAAATGATTTACAATGATAATAAAAGTAATTTCAACGGAAATCTCAACACCCTCATTACCTGATTCAATTTTTGTCGTCCTATTATAATGTTGTAGGATGTGTCTACGTCGACGAGGAGGTATTTTACCATTACCCTCCTAGAGTTGGGATCCGTCCTGAATGTGTTCAACAACTCGACGTAGCCGCGGGTGTGGACTCTCTCACCTGCAAAGCCAACCAAGGGATCGAAGTGTGGTTGGATGAGAGTATAGGGGATATCTAACCTTAGGAACGTTGGCCAATACAAAACATCGACTGAGCTTCCTTGGTCGATTAGTGTCTTGTGGACTTCCCAATTGGCTACCTCGACAACGATGACCAAGGTGTCATCCTAATTTGGACTGATTTTGACATAATCGTCGTCCGTGAAGGTTATTGGTGATGCGTGCGTGGCAGGCATGAGGTGCCATGTTGGACGTTGTTGATGCTCCGCAAGTGTTGCTTGCGGGCCGAGCTGCTTGGTCCCCCTCTGGCGAATCCCCCGACGATTGTGTTAATGACGCCCCGTAAGGGGACTTGTTCAGGGACTTGATCAGCTTCTTGGTGTCTGGTGCCACCAGCAATCTACTGAGGTGTTAGAGGTTGGTCAGCTCGGGAACTAGAGCCTTGGCCTTGGCTGCGTCCTCGCCCCTGCCCCTGGTAGCTACTTCTATGAGGTTGGGACCTTTGATTCAGTGCTTGAGTGTCCGACATTCTTCAATTGTATGGTCGTAGTTCCTGTGATAGTGGAAATGTTTTGTCTTGTCCGCATGGTTAGGGTTGTGTCCTGGCAGTGGTAGGGTGATCAATTCGGTGTTGCTAGCTTCCTCCAGTATATGCACCTGAGGTACGTTCAAGGGGGTGTATAAGTCATACTTTCCCCCTTTATTCTGTCGAGGTCTTTTAAGTTGAGCTTCATTCATTGCCCTTAGCTTGTCCTTGTGACCTTGTCCAACGTGGTCTTGCTTTCCCTGTGGTTTCCCGCAAACTTGCTCGCGAAATTCAGCATGTTCTTCCATCTGGATGTATCCAGCGGCACGAGCACGGAGCTTGTCCATATCTGTGGGAGGTCGTTGGCAGAGGCTGTCAACGAATGGGTCTGGCTTTAATGTTATGAACATGGAGTGCAGGGCGACCTCGGGATTGAGGTTGCGAATCTGGATGGAGACGTTGGCAAAGTGCTCCATGAATTTTCTTAATTTCTCGTTCTCGCCCTGCCTGAGATTTGCGAGGGCAGCGGACGTTATGTGGTGAGGCCTGCTTGTGGCATATTGCGCCATAAATCTCCTTATCAAAGTCTCAAAATTATCGACTGACCCTGCTGGCAATTGAGTGTACTAGGTGAGTGCGGGGCCTTTCAATGAGGTTGGAAAGACTCTGCACATGATGGCGTTGTCATTGGTGTACAAATTCATCTGTGTGACGTAGGCATCAATGTGCTCATTTAGGTCGGCTGAGCCATCGTACTAGTCAATGCTCAGAGGCTTCCAACCTAGAGGGAGAGGCGTCTCCATGATGCCATCTACAAAAGGGTGGCGCCTAACACCCATCCGATGTGTGAGAGCTTGGGTGGGTGTGCGGCTGACCTCGTGGCCCAAACGATGCGTAGGCGCGTGTGACTGTCGCCACCGGCCCGAAACGGGCTTTCGGCA